GTGCTGCTGCTCTGAGGTTTGCAGGGCATTGGTGCTGCTGCTCTGAGGTTTGCAGGGCATTGGTGCTGCTGCTCTGAGGTCTGCAGGGCATTGGTGCTGCTGCTCTGAGGTCTGCAGGGCATTGGTGCTGCTGCTCTGAGGTCTGCAGGGCATTGGGGCTGCTGCTCTGAGGTCTGCAGGGCATTGGTGCTGCTCTGAAATCTGGCATTCAAAGTATGCATTGGTGCTGGTCTGAGGTGAGCTGACAGTAACATCCTACAGGCCAGAGATTGCACAACTGAACCATGAAATAAAGACACAGGAATCACACTAAAAAAGTCCAGTTTACTTTTCAGCACATGTAAATATGAACATGTTTTGTGTGTGCACCAGTTATTAAATTTTTCCCTTATAGTTGTGCTGCTACTGGCGAGGTAAACACAATAAAATAATTAGTGCGTTTAACTTACTATTAGCAGTACAGCTATGAGTGAAAATTGATATGAATAAATCCTGTTTTAATGTGGAGGCTTGCACTCTTGCTATTTGTTTTGTGGCATAGTACTGGATCAGCCTAATTTTCAGGAGCCGCATGCCAGAGTGTGTTTTTTTTTTTTTCACTACAATTCTTGGAATCATTGCTTAGTGTTGTCTTTTATTGGAATACCATTCACTAGTTAGTGCCCGGCTATCTATTGTCTTTCATCTGATAGGATGCAGTCATCTGGAGCCCTTGACATCACCAAAAGGGCAGCACATAATATTCATTTGATATAATACTGCAGAAAGCTGTCACAGACTGAAGACATGCAGCAAGAGATGGCTAGAGACTGCAGACATGCCAAAGGAGTTGTTGGAGACTAGTGACATGCTTCAGGAGACAAGTAAAATATATTTACACCGGCACTCCAATAGTAAATCAAATACGTCTGTTTATTAGCAGCATAACGTGATACACTCAATGAGACGTTTCGGGGTCTCGCAGGATCCCCTTCATTAGGCAGAACAAGTGATACAGCCACAGCACCCTTCGTTATTACTTTGGAACAGCGGTTTCGAGTGCAATGGTTTCATGGACTTTACTATGCTTCATGAGACATGTTACTTGTGACTGCTAGAGATCATGGCTATTACAGCCCCTCTACAAGTCAACAAGTGCACATTTGATATTTCTCTCAGCAAGATTCAGTATAAAATATCAAAGAAAAAAACAAAACATAAAAAGACAAAAGGAATGGATAGAGGAAAAAGAAAGTGTAAAAGAAATTCTGGCTAAATTGCTTAAAGGAGAACTATGGGGTCAGTGTTTTTCCCCATAGTTCTCCTTAGGGTAACGGGAGGACACAAACTTGCGTCCTCCCGTTACCCTAAGCTACAGCTCGCGGTATACTGAGACGCCGCAGCCGGAGCGGATCCCGACGCAGATGACGGGATCCGCCAAAAGCGTTGTATGTGTAATCATCAATATCTCTCTATCCTAACATATACTGATATAGGTAAACAAAGTGCTCACAGAAATTTCAGAAGATTTGAAATAGATGACTTGCCTTCCCAATGATCTTTAAACCATTTAAAGAAGAACTCCAGGGAAAAAATGTATGAATCCTTGTAGTGGGGCTACCCCCATCATTGCAAGGGTTAACTATTCACTTTGGTCTAGGTTAACAATAAAGTTATACTTGCCTGAACCATGGAGCCGGCTTGTTCTTAGACCGGTCCTTCCAGCCTCCTCTGCAACAGTTTAAGGTTGTGTATAGATGTGAGGACGCTGAGGAAGATTCCAATGCTGCAGCGCAGGAAGAGACGGGCTGGAGGGAGCGCTTTGACAGCTGGCCGGCTCGGAGCTTCAGGTTGAGTATAACTGTTATGTTTCAACCTAGACAAAAACGAGCACTTAACCCTTGCAGTGCAGAGGTAGCCTAACTTCTACAGTATAACGTTACTTCTGCTGCAACTGCAATGGAAATGTTATGGTCTTTCCCCCCAATTGTCTAAAATTAGACCCTACATATCCATATAGAATGGGGATACACCCATACCGGTTTTTCTGTATTGAGTACCGATATTTTTTTTTTCAGTACTCGCTGATACTGAATACCGATACCAGCATCCGTGGGCTAGGATTATCAGAAAGCCGCTTCCTGATTGCCTGGGAAGCCGGTGCTCTATCGAAAGAAGACCGGCTTTACGTCCCTTGTGACATTGCGAGGCAGCCTGGCTTCCTGACCGATCAAGAATTCGGGTGGTGGGTCATGACATGCTGCCCGGCTTCCTGTCTGGTCAGGAAGCCAGGCTGCCTCGCAACAAGTGAAGCCGGCTTCCTAGCCAGTCAGGAAGCCAGGAGGCGGGTCATGACGTCTTAATGGGTAATGGGTCTTTTTACCTTTTGATGATCCTTCTTGCAAAAAAGTGTGTGTAAATCATCTCCATCCGGTTTGTACCTCTCCTTTGATGCAACTCTTCCTACACGGACACAAATTAGTAGAAAGATATTCAATATTGGATAGCATTTGTATAACAATAAGACCCATACATTTTTGGGATGATAATGTTGATAATCTATTCGTGCAGATATTGGTCCTGTCAGAAAAGTTACCTGATGTTTGTGTAAACATATTAAAATAGTTTGTTTCAGCTGACTTTTACGTGCTTATGGACACATTTCACTATATCATTTATGTAATTATCATTACAATTACCTTGGTAAATTTTCACCTGGTATTTTCTCATGGATGTTATTCTTCCAGGAAAAGGAGTGGGTAGATGCTGTGTCTGTTGGAGCCATTCTGTCTGATTACCAGCGCGTTCGAGTAGAAAACGTGTAAGATTTTTGTTTGTACCTGTGGGCGTTGCTATTATTGCATAATTACTTGTGAGTTAAGATCTTGTGGTATATTTGTGCATAGGTTAATTGTACAATATAAAAATATATTCTACTTTGGGCCAGTGAGTAACTGGAAAAACAAAGAAATGGTAATGTTGCTCGAATATGGAGCTGATTGACTCTATATACCTTGACATAACTCTCAACTCTATAAGATGTGAAAAAGAGACACCTTTTTAGCACACATTATGTACTCAAATATGATATATCTCTAACCACACTCCCAGTTATTCAGATGAAGTTTTACGAAAAAATGATTGGTTTAACCGACTGATGATTATTTTCACCATTGACAGCCAGTAATTTCAGCACAGATGCCGGCAGAACTGGCCATGGAAACCAGCTGCCATTTTAAAACAGAGCAGACGAGAGTGAGGGCTCACCAGCCAAAGAAACTACAAATTTACAAGATAAGAGAAGAGCAAAGTCTGAGGTTTAATTGTTGGCTCATGCCCAGTGGCCAGTGGTGAGGGCTATGGGGAAGGCAGCTCTCCTTGATACCACTCATGTGAACCCTGCTTGATCTTCATGCTTTCCCTGTAAATGACTTCAAGTGCTGCCTTTTGTTAGTAGTTCTAATGCTGGCCAAACTGAGATTGGGTTTCTTGCAGGATGGTAGCACACCAGGAATCTCCTCCAAATTTATCTTTATTACATACTGTAAGACCGTGAAAGCAACACCCATGTTATGACTAAGGCCCAGTTGGGCTGATACAAGTAAGTGGGTGTGGTTTTTATGGACTTTACAGTATTTAAAAAATATACTTTTGGAGGAGATTCCTTGTGTGCTGCCTTCCTGCTTTAAAGTGATATGCATCATTGAAAGGTGGATTGAGGCTTTGCACCAGGTTGGTTATGTGTGGGGTATAATGGGAGGTCAGAGTAGTGTATCCCAGGACTGAGTCATGGTGAGATTGGGTCCATGATTCAGCCTCAGGCTCCACTTGCTCCACTTACCTCCCGATCTACTGAGCCGACCTGTGACAGTCTCATTGTCACAGGTCAGCTAGAACTATGAGGTGAGTGAAAACCCCTCACCTCATAGTTCTCCTTTAAGGGTGGCCAGATTACGATAATTGTATAATAATAATTTGCTATTTTAAAACAGTCCTGCCAGAGAGAGCTGCAATTGTAGCATTTTAAATGGTGCCTGGGAGGGAATTGGTTAAACTTTATTAGATGAACCTTCCTAGCCAAAACCAGCTGGTACTATATGAAAATGTAATGCCAGATCCTATAATTCAATGTCAATCTTTCACATCGCTCTTTCTTCCTTGGAGAACTGCTTTAGTTCAGAAACTTGCACTGCCTCTTTCAGGTTCTACTCTAGCATCTTTCCTGGCGTTAGATCTGGTCTTTGATTAAGCCAGTTCAGTTGCCTTAATGTGAGTCAAAAAGCCAATTCCCCCTTCCCAATTTGCAAAATGCCAAGAAAACCTGTTTGGTTCCACACAAAAGAATTACTAGCATTTACCTGGTTATAAACGGCTAAAAATCTGGCCTGCATTAACCTGCTGTCAGATGCTGGAGACAACAGTAAGCAGGTTTCAGCAGGCCTTGCATGTCATTTCTCAGCACCTCATAGCCTTGGATAGTTGTAGTCAGCACAGCTTTACCTCATTCACTAAGCTGAGTTAATTTTCTCTTTGCAAAGTGATTATTTACTAAAGTTTGTAAATCAAGAGAAGTTGTGCCGACTTCAATCAAATGAAAATAACTGAAGATAAGTAAATTCAATTTGCAAATTGAATATGCTCTACTTCTTTAGGAAATCGGGTCACTGGGAGGAATTCATGAAAACTGGAGCAAACCAAATCTGGAGCAATTGCCCATAGTAGCCAATCAGCTTCTTCCTTCCCTTTGTTCAGTTAAGCTTTGAAAATGAAAGAGAAGCTGATTGGTTACTATGGGCAGCTGCTCCAGATTTCGTCTGCTCCAGTTTTCATAAATTTTCTTTACTGTGTTTTCCATATCTACATATGAGGTCAAGGAAACATTTCCAGAGGAGTAAGTTAGGAGGAGAGGTGATACATGCAGCAGTATTTGTATGAAATTCTAAAATAAACCTATATATAAACTTAGATTCTACACCGTGTGCCATTTGCTGTCTGTCCTGCACAGGTGTCAGCGCCTTGGTCTTCAGCCATTGGCTTATCTCTGGCGGCGGAAGCAGGAGGACCTTTTGGATGAAATGATATCCAGTGGATTGCATGCCATACTCATCAAGGTAGCTGCGTTTGGTAAGAGGGAGCTGCCAGTGGGAATACAGATGAGATGACACAATTACCTTATACCAGGGCTCAAAATTTCCAGTCGCCCACTCAGTCAGGCACGCGGTCACGGATCGCGTACCTGACTTATGAGAGCAGCAGCTCCTTGCTGTCCTGGCTCCGTTCCTTTCGGCCGGAGCTCTGACAGTTCTGAGCTCCGTTGGAAAGGATGGATTAGTAAGGACTCAATCAGGAGGGATAGGATTCATGCCTCCTCCCTGCATAACGGCAAGCAGGTGAGGGGGCTCTTTTATCTTATGTGGGCTGGGCTGGGGAGG